GGAACGTAAAAAAAAAGAATCAAATGAAAGATTATAGAGGCAGGATTTTATTTTCTAGCAAAAATCGATTTCTTATGGATATATATATATATATATATATATATATATATAAAAGTGAATACTGGATTAAGTTTTTTTTTAATAATCCGCTTTGCCTTTCGTTCAATTGTTCCGTTTTATTATATTTTCTACTCATCGCTATCACACAAAAATCGGTGAAATTTCTCCGCTCTGTATATTGCAGAAGAAGAAAAAGAAAAACTTAAAATCTGCTTTGTCGTCACACAGATATATATATATATATATATGTGTACATATGTGGCATGAATGAATCGAGAAATCAATGCTCTTAACCTGAAATTTCAGCAACTGAAAAATGTTCCAGTTGTTATAAAGTGAACTGTCATCTTTCAAATATGTATATATATAGAGAGATAGAGATTGCGCGACATTTGCGTGAAATTACGATTTTTATTATAGTCGTCACGCCATTCTCAAATTTCAGAAATAATCAGATAAAAAATAACTGAGACGACTTGAGTTAAAGCTTTTATATTATGCATTAAAATACTTTTGGTAACAATTTGAATTGTCACTGAGATTGAAAAACAAATATCGCTATTAAATTTTTTTTTTATAGACACTTATTAAAATTCTTTATAAGTTGTAACAATTAGTAATTTTGTTCATTTTTTTTCCTCGATATTTTTTTTATTTCTTTTTTTGCATTACTTATTCGACTACAAAATGCGAGTGAAAACATATTTATTGGTCTTTTTTATAAAAAAAAAAAAAAAATTATGTTGAAAATTTCAGTTATGTAAGAAAATAATTATTTTAAGATACGGTGAGAAAATGTAAGGTTATGTATATGTTGTATATGCCTACACTTTTTTGTCCTTTTCTAACTCATGTGTTGTCATGGCAACACGTGCGTTAGAAAAGGACAAAAAAGTGTAGGCATATTTGGCCACGAGTTTACTTGTGTGAATTGACAGCGTACAACAGCGCCATTACCATAAACTACAAAAAAGCGTTAAAAATTTGAAAACAACAAATTATAAAATTCTTTAGTTGATATAAATAAATCGAAATTCAACATTAAATTCTCAAGCATATATTTTTGCATAAATAAATTTTATTTGAACAACAAAATTTATAACTAATCTATCAAATGCATAGATATGTGGTTTTAGATGAAATTTACAATATTGGTTCAATCATCATCAAAAATGTATTCATATTTACAATGATGAAGTAAAATTGTCCATGAAAATTGTAATTTATGATGAGATGAAATTCAGCATGAAAATACAATATAGTGAATTCGCGGCAATATTGGTAGAATCTCCTTATATTCCAGATAATATAATTTTTATAAAATGTAGACATATATATATGAATGAAGTTATATTGATAATAATAATACTGTAGAATATGAATATGTATATGGTATACATTAGAGGTTTATCTGTATGTCTAAAGGTGCATACATACTATATATAAAGGGTAAGAAGTTGGTAGAGAATAGGATGCGAGAAAGTGGCGGTTCTCAAGCATGAGACTGAAGCTCAAACTCCCGTATCTCGACCATACATATATAAAAGAGATGGCTTTTCAACGTGGCATCGTCTATGCAGATGAGAATTTGCTCATGGCCATTTTCAGGAATAACGTTAGTGCACTCGTATATGTAAATATTCAAATACGCGGTCTCAACACACCCCATATACACATTCCAGTTGGTGTGTATACTCGATTCTCGCCTTCCTCACAGCCAAGTCACTTGTCCAGGTCACATCATTAAAACGCGCTTTACCCTTAGTTTTAGGTACCGTTCATTTTTACATTTATTTTTCACCTAGTGCAACTAAATGTATACAGAATTTACTCTCTTTGGCTTTGAAAAAAAAAAATGGTAAATTAACATACAAGGCAAAATGATTACAGAAAAATAACGATGGACCGTATATTTTTCCTAAAATTGCACTTTTTCTGCGAAAATATCAATTTGATTTTAAAATTTGTATTGCAAAAGTTTTTATATCCAAAAGTGGTATCAACTTCATCCGTATTATTTGGATTATTTTTCGATATTAATTTCCAACTCTGCCGTGCAAAACTGAAATACTGTAATTTGTTTTTTTATTTAGGTTATGCTTCCCATTAAATTTTTTCTTTTATATTTTGGAAGTTTCAATTTATGGAAAATTTCATCCATGGAAGGTAGAATTAATTATTTCTATCGAATTGAAATCAAATTTTTTATAATTTTGATTTTCCCTTCATTTCTAAAAATAACACAGGCCAACACTGATTTTGGTGCGGCAAATGTCAGACCTGTTTTTGATATGTTTTTTCAAGCTTAACACAAATCCGTAAACGAAAAGTTCCTATCAGCTCTAGTTTTTGAGAAAAACGGGTTTTAAATGTTCAAAAATCGCGCTTTTGGCTAACTTTGAGTACCTCTAGCACTGAAATAAAAGGTCGTAGAACCTTCCACTTGGGCTTAAATTGAGGCTTAATGTTTCAACTAATATCCCCAAAAATGACCTATGTTGCACCATAATCTTAAAGTCATTTGTTATTATTTTTGATTCGTAAATATTAATTTTGTAAAAGTTTGAGCGCGTACCTCTAGCAAAGAAAAAAGGATCATAGAACCATTTATTTGAACTTAAAATAAAGTTTGAACTTTAGATTACAAGCCCTAAAAATTATATTATTCACTAATAACCTCAAAATTGTTGGTAACTAGTATTTAACTACAGAACTTATTTGTGACCGTCCACGACAAAACAAGGCTTAGCTCCCAAAAAATCAATTTTGAGTTTTTGATGCTAATCGATAGATTTTAAGTTGCTCTTTCACATGCAAAAGTCAGAAATTGTTTATGTCAATTACTTTTGACACTATAACGTTCTAAAGACGGGCATGTCAAGCGTGTTCCTGGTTTCTGCTTCTACTTCAATCACTTGCCCTGTGAAATTTACTTTTGGGAACTAAGCCTTGTTTTGTCGTGAACGGTCACATTTGATAATATTTGAATAACTCTAGTCAATAAAATCAAAGGTCAACCTTCTTGTTGAGCTTCAATTCAATTTATCCCTTGACTGTAGTTCATAAAAATTACATTGCTGCACCTTAACCTCAAGGACTAGATGTACGCGCTCAAACTTTTACAAAATTAATATTTAGGAATCAAAAATGGATAACAAATGACTTTGAGGTTATGGTGCAAGATAGGTCATTTTTGGGAATAACAGTTAAAACATTAAGCTTCAAATTAAGCCCAAGTGGAAGGTTCTACGACCTTTTGTTTCAGTGTTAGAGGTACTGAAAGTTAGCCAAGAACGCGATTTTTGAACATTTTAAACCCGTTTTTCTCAAAAACTAGAGCTGATAGGCAATTTTCGTTTACAGATTCGTGTTCGTCATGAAAAAACCTATCAGAAACAGATCTAACATTTGCCGCATCAAAAAAGTTTGCTAATTTTGTTGGCCTGGGTAATAAATATAATGCAGATCAAGGGGACGCATGATTATGTTCTAAAAATCATTAGTTAGAATTTTCATTTTATGAAATTTCATTTGTCATAATTATTTTTAATTCGAATTTTTATTTTGTTATAATTAGTATTTTACAGAATTCTGCAAAGAAATTTTACTCAATAAAAATTTTTTAAAATGCGCCTAAAATGAAAATTCAAGCAAATAAAAATTCGAACAAATAAAAATTCTGCGAAGTAAATTTTTGATTATATAAAAATTTTGTAATACAGAAAATCGTTTTGATGAAAATTCTGCAAAATACTAATTCGAATAAATAAAAATTCGGCTCAAAAATAATTATGACAAATGAAATTCCATAAAATGAAAATTCTAACTAATGATTGTTAGAACATATAATCATGCGTCACAGATCAAGTTAATATCACATATGGGTATCAAAACTTAGCAATTCAAATTGATACCTCCAAAAAAAAAACTCTGATCTTCTTAAAAATAGAAAAATTAACATTAAAATTGTTTCCTCTCAATATACTGAGTATTTAATAGAATTTACATGAAATTTTCAAAGAGGTTACTTTCCGTAGATCTTTGTATGTATATATGCATCATCATTTTTACTAGAAAGAAAATCTTTTAATGCCTCTTGAAATACATAAATTAATTTGTATGTTGTATATATATATAGGGTTTTAATGAATGTAGGTCACAAGCATTATATAAACGAACTCAGTGCACAAAATAACAAATAGAATAAAATTACCAAGAATGAAGAAGAAAATAAATAAAATACAATACAAAGCAAAAAAGAATTCCCTTGTGAATTTTTCTGGCGCGATTATATATATATATATATATATATATATATATATATATATAGATACGTTCTAAATAGATAAAATACAAAATATACAAATGTGTTTGTTAATGCTTGCGGGGTAATTTATTTTATACGATTTTGCGCCAAATATACAATAACCATGCGCACTCAATTCATTATTATTGTTATTATAAAATCAGTAATTTAAATGCATTACTATTCTGCGAAAAAAAAAGTATATAAAGTTTACTTGAATTTCTGCCAGTCGACAGCAATTCAAACTCAAATGACGACTTTTATTGAGAGGAGGTGAAATTGAGATCTCTTCAAACTTTAAATAGGTTCTGTTCCCTTGAGTTTTATCCTTTGAAAATTTTCTCTTGGGGTGAAAAAAATCGCATTATATTCGAAATGGCAAGAAAAATTAAAAGACCTCTCTCTCTCTCTCTCTCTCTCTCTCAGTTTTTTCTATTCATTTAAAATCATCAGTCGTCATTCAATTTTTTTTTTATGTCAGTAAATATTATGTTATAATATAATTAGAGAGAAAAAATGAAGAAAATTTTTGCAAATATAAAATTTAGAATTTCTTTTTTTGTAATTAAGATTGAAATGTAATTGATTTTTTTGAATTATGTTGTAATTTTTTTGTTTCTCTTCTATTTTACAGCAAGACTGTCCAAATGGTAGGCTTACACCTGCTAAATTCGTTGATATGTACAAAATGTTTTTCCCATCGGGGAATGCCGAAGAATTTTGTGACCATGTTTTCCGTACATTTGACATGGACAAAAATGGCTACATCGACTTTAAGGTAAGTTTCTTTAATTTATGTATTGAACATTTTTATTGGTTACACTATTATATAATTATAAAATTAATTGTTGACTTTAAAGAGACGCAGACAATGAATTTCATAGTAATGAAATGAATTCCATTTTACTGAAACAGCATATGTGACCTAAAATCAAATTCCGAACAATCGTAATATTTTAATTACATATCAAACTTTCCTCTGTATAGCCATAACCTATAATTGCCGTAATAATTGTTTCTTATCTTTATACTAAAACAAACTTTTTTATTCTATATAATATTTTCCATAATTTATTATAATATTTTAATAAATATTATTATTAATATTTAATATTATTGATAACATAATATAAATTATTAATTTATATATATATATATATATATTATAAATAATACTATATTTATTATTTACCACTAAAATAGTATTTATCCGAATTTTCGTTTGTCTGAAATTTTTTTAATATAATTATTATTTAACTTGTATTTCTGTATTTCTCTATATAAGTATATAACCTAACATAAACCTAATGAGTAATTTAAAAACTAGGAGTAAAATGGTGAACGTACAATTGGGGTTGTTTTCCATTCTCCCCACTTGCCATTTGTCATAATTCTCGTCAACTACCGCACCCTGCTCTAGTAAAAATTTAGTGACTTTATTATTAAAATTAAAAGTTACTATAAAGTTACTAAATTTTTACTAGAGCAGGGTGCGGAAGTTGAGAATTATGACAAATGGCGATTTTGGCAAGTGGGGACAACGGAAACTAACCTAGATTCATGAAATTTGTTCGCGTACGAGGTGCATGAGATAGAAAAGGACTGCCTTAGGACTGCTTCCACAATGGAAAGTTGTCATTGTTACCATTTGTCATAATTCTTGACTACCGCACCCTGCTGTAGTGAAAATTTAGTGACTTTATAGTAATTTTTAATTTTAACTATAAAGTCACTAACACTGAAAACTAAAAGGCATTAAAATAAGCTGCAACGCTTATTTTAATACCTTATAATTTTCTGTGAAATTAACACTCGAGCAGGGTGCGGTAGTTGAGAATAATGACAAATGTTAAGTGGGGACAATGACAACTTTTCTCGTTCATTTTTCTGAAACGTGACTCAACTGTTTAATGTGAATAATAATTAAATTTCAATTTTTTTTTGTAAAATAATAGTTTATTGTGATTTTTTTTTGTGTACGTTTAACACTTGACTGTTTCATTTCATGTATTTTTTTAAATAATGAATAATATTAACTAGTTAAAATTGTAGGACTAGTGGAACGCGTGAAATAAATTCTTTGTCGACAGTTGGCAGTAGATGCGTGCGCATCTTCTTAACCTTAGGGTACGGTCACAGCTCAGCTATCTAAGTAGGATCGTCATGGTAACGTATATGAGTAGAGAAATGAAGAATGTTATTTCTCTCACTCTTATAGGTCACCATGACGACGATATTTAGATAGTTGAGTTGTGTACGTACCTTTAAGGTGCAGTCTCATTGTCCCCACTCGCCAAAATCCACATTCGCCATTTATCATAATTCTCGTCAACTACCGCACCCTGCTCTAGTAAAAAATTTAGTAATTTTTAATTTTAACAATAAAGTTACTAAATTCTTACTAGAGCAGGGTGCGGTAGTTGACGAGAATTATGACAAATGGCGAGTGGAGATTTCGACAAGTGGTGACAATGGAATTTTTTTCTGTGAAGTATTTCTTAAAGTTTTTGAATATAAATCATGTTTTAGAATTATTTAATTTTACTCTTCATTAATGTTATAATTATATCGTTGTTAGAGAAATTATCCTATTTCTTTGTGAAAAATTGATAAGATTATTCAAGTATACGTATATATATAGAGAGAGATTGTGAATCCCTTATGGTTGAAAAGAAAGATATCTTTCAACGTGAATTTTTTTGCAACGGTGGTAAAAGGCGAGAGGACCGCATATTTCATACGTAATTCAATGCTTGACGGGGACTCGGTCATTAGTGAAGTAGCGCAGAGCGTCGGGGCGTTAGTTTGTGAAAATTGGGTCAAATGTTGAGCGATGTAGATCGACCAACCAAATATTTTATTCTCGTGTCACATATATATATATATATATATATATATATATGTGAACGTGTATATGTTTCACATATTACTTGTATGTTACTTTTACAAACTTTATTTGAACGACAACCAATTATATTTAGGCACCTAATTAACAAACGAAAATTGAACTAGCAATTTCCTTGTAGGTGTGCGCTGCCTGGTAAAATATTTACCTTTCCGTTATTCGTTTGCTCTCTCATGCAGTTTTTTTTCTCTCCTCTTCATAAATTAATTAATGTTTTATCCCCATTAACTTTATGTACACATTAAAATTTTTTTTTCTGATTTAAATAGCATATTGACAACATTGAAAAAGGTTTTGTAAACATTTTTATTAAAAATTTCCATTACATTTTGTGGTAATTTTTTTTTTAAATTTTACTTTTATTTTATTATATAACATAAAGTTTTAAATTTTATGCTAAATTTTGTACTGAAAATACGTGCTACGATCTCTATTTTCCCTTACTACCTGAAGTCTACTCACAATGAAATGGTCTCTTCTTGGCTAGAAGTTTGCGTATCTCATATCTCTGGGAGATATGAGAACTATAATACAAGTTTCTGGTCTTGTTGAATATATATATATATATATTTCCAAGTAAATTATCAGTGAGAGAAGTAATATTTTATTTCACTAGAAATATCACATGATAAAATTCACAGATATACACGAAAAAAGCATTTATTTTGAAAAATATGAAAATTAAAAATAGAAAAAAAGTAATGCAAATCGTATTCCTTTTTTCTTCTCACAAAAGTATACAAATAATAAATATGAAAACAATAAATATTTGCTTATGAATGAAAAGTATTGACTGTTTTTTTTTTACAACATTGTAAAAAAAGAATACTGAAGCCATATTTCTGTCAGCGTTATAAATATAAGTAATAAAAAAAGCCATTATTTGATTTAACATCCAATGTATATTTTCCAACTATTATAATTAAATCTAAAATTATTTTCTTAATATACTTTGAATGTTTTTACAAACATTATTTTTAGTTCTTTGGTTTATAACAATAAAATTGTACTAAAATATTCCCTCAAATATAACCACAAATTAATTTTGTGATAAAAGCTCAGCTTGTATCTATATAACTCCGATTATTATTTATCGTTGATGGAAATATATATATATATATATATATATATATATATATATATATATATATATTCAGGAAAATCATAAAACAATGTGAAAGTAATATAACATGTTTCACGAAATCGTCAATTTTTATATGTATAAAACGGTTTATTATGGTAACGTTTATAAAATAGAGCGTGATTTAAAGTAATTTACAAAAATTTTTATAATTTGTATTTTTGCCTAACGCGTTATATAATGCGTGTAGATTGAAATATTATATGTCCTAAAAACCAGATAACTTGGCATTATCACATTTGTTCACTGAAAATTGATGGGCTTTCGATATTATCGATAATGTATATATATATATATACCTTTTGTGAACCAGTCGCTTCGTTACTACACTTTAATGAATAAATGTAGATCTCTGTTAAATAAATTCTTCTACACAAAAATTAATACTTAAGAAAAATTCTTTATGAAAAAAATTTGTATTCCGATTTTTGCTTTTTTGTTAACCATAATGTCTTAAGGTATCACATCGGTAAAACCGTTTTCTATAGATTTTCTTGAAAATTTTACCATATGTTCTTATTATCATTCTTGACAAATTTGCAAAATATGAAGAATTTTCGCCGTACGAAACCAGAGATATTAGCAATCAAAGTTGCTTATTTTGCATGGGAGACGGGACTAATGTATGGGGGAGAAGTACATTTTCATAAATATCATCAGAAGTTTTCTATAAATTTTTTTCAAAAACTAATGTTGAATTCACGAATAAATTTGGAACTAAAATATACAAAAAAATTTATAATTTACCGTGCCGTTTATTTGTAATTATAAATTAAAAATTCTATTTCATGACGTCATTTGCAATATATAGCACACCCGCCACTTTGATGTGGCAACATCGCAGGATGGTAACATTAGTTAGAGAGAGACAGTAGTCCACAGTAGTCAAAGCGAGACTTATAGCGACGTTGTCAAACCTCCTACTCCTTCCAATCGCTGCTAGTGTGGGGTATACGTGTACGAGTGTATTTGTAGAAGTAGGTACAGTATGGGCTGAGAGTATAGGGAGTTGAGGGCGAAAGTATACTGCGGGAAGTAGTAATGCGAGCTACAAACTTTTGACTCCGATTAGTGCCGATGTGATACCTTAAGAATACAGTTTTAAAATTTTATAACGAAATTTCATTTCTATCAAAAGTTGTAGCACAATATATTATATATATATATATATATATATATACACAGAAAAAAAACTGAACTCAAAATGAGTAGCGTAAGTGCAACAAAAATGATCTTATTTTGATTTCTTTTTATGTTTATAGTGAAATGTTTCAAATTGAACCAGATCAAGTTCATTTTGAGTTTGAGATTAATGTTAAATTATCATGGACAAACAAATAATTACTTAAAAAAAAAATTAAGACAATAATTTTTTTTAATAAACAAACGTATAGCCCTGAAGAAAACTGTAATTCTCAAAGTTGATTTACACAAATTAACGAAATTAAATAATATAATTTTTAGGTTAGGAATCTTGTTGACTTTAGGTTGGTTTCCATTGACCCCACTCGACATTTGTCATAATTTTCGTCAACTACCGCACCCTGCTCTAGAGAAAATTTAGTGACTTTTTATAGTAACTTTGAATTTTAACAATAAAGTCACTAAATTTTTACTAGAGCAGGGTGCGGTAGTTGACGAGAATTATGACAAATAGCGAGTGGGGACAATGGCAACCAACCAACGGCTCGGCTTTCGTCCATCTTTGATTTCTCCCTACTCAACTTAAACT